TTATTTTAAGTTGTTTCAAATTCAAAAAATACTATTGCAATGATTATAACTAATATACACACATTATTATTTTTTTTTCCATTCAGCTTTCTACTTATATATATTCAAAGTTCGTTAATTTTAAATTAAAGAAACGTGAGGGCTTTCATGTTTTTTTATTTTTTATTTTTTGGATCAGCAAAAAGAAAAAAGTGTACATGATACAAAGGCAACATCAATAAAAAAGGCAAGTGCAAAAACAATCAAAAAAGAGAAAAGTAAATCCATCTTAACTAGATTGACACCAATATACTAAATCATTTGCAAGAAAAACACCAAAGTTCGTGAGGGACCAACCAATACAACACCATAGAACAACTAGCATTCAGGCCCGTCTCAAATTACAACATCAACCAAACCCTAGCCTAGCACTAGAACCACCAACAAAAGCAAAAACAGCAGAAAAAGCTCGAATCAGCCATACATCCTACCAAATTTAGCAACCAAAAATCAATCAAACCGAAGCAACATCCAGAGGAACCCAAAGCAAATGACTAGCAAAGAAGTAGCTAAGTCCTTCCCTCAAGTGCTTACCATAAACCTACCCAAGAGTGAAGTACTTATGAAAAGATTACCCACCCACATCCACAAGAACCCCAGCATACAACTTCCTTTCATGGTGTGCTAACAAAATTGACCATTTTATGTTGATGTTATTGCATTTCACATGTTGATGAAATGTCTCTTAATTATTATTTTTTGGTTTGGATGATTATGTGTAAAGGCTCAAATTGCTCCTATTGGTAATCTAGCTAGAAGGGGTTTTCGTTTCACATAATTATTAGGTGTTTCCAGAGTATCACGTGGATTTACTTGTATGGTAGTCAAAATTAATAGCATAACTGAAATCTTATGGGTAAAGCATGGTGAATCTTTGTTGAGTAAGTAGGAGATAAGGGATGATCCACACTATGTGAGTTGAAATTTTCACTAACGAGATCACCAATCTCGGATTATTTAATAATTTCTTATTTTGGAAGGGAATTGTTAGTGCCAAAAAAAGCACAAGATTAATAATATATAAATAAGATGATTGATTAATAATTAAAAAAGTATAAGAGAGAGGGTTGCATTGGATATTCTAATAGACTATCACATTATTAAATTTGAAAAGTAAGTCTAATTTTGGACCTAAGTGGCATTACCAATGAAGGAAATAATTCGGGCTACCAATCATTTTTCAGTGAACATGAAAAAGTTTTTGATTGCTTACTTTTTTGAGTAATGAAAGGATCATTTTAGGGTTCATTTTATTTCATATTATTTATTCTTAATAAAACATCTCAAAGTTGCCAATCAATCTCCACCAGGCTTCCTTATTGTAGAACTAATCTGTTTTTCCTGACAAAATTTAACTACTTTTAGTTTATCTCGATCTGCTTTTGTTAATAATCTAACTTGATTCAAAATGGGAGGTATGTTCAATCATTCAAAATTTAAATTTGTGTGACAGAAATTATAGAAATCATAATCCTAACAATAAAACTCCAATTATTCCATTTCAAAATTAATTTTTTTTTCCCTTTATCAACAAAAGAGAAGAAGCTTTATTGATTGTAATCAACATTCAATACAAATGACATACATCAATAAAAATGATTGCAACTAGGCTGGCACCAACCAACAAAGCAACCCAAAAAGGACAAAATAAAAAAAAAAAGACACAGCAGCCAAGGCCCTCATCCCATCCAACATCAACCCTGCATATCTAGCTGCAGCAACTACACCACTCTTCCTCCTAAGCAAACTCTAATCTGCCTCAAATTATAAATAAAGTCGTGAATTGTGAATTGAGATTCGTTAGTGCTTGACTTCATCCATAATGCGACTCTAATTTTGATCAATTCACATAGCTCAGCCAGATTAGGAGCAATTGCCTTCAACACACATTCACTCCTATGTTTCCACAAGGACCATAGTACAGCCAGGGGAATTGCTCTCCAAATCTTTCTTTCCTTCTTCTTAAGTCTCACCCCCGACCACTGTTTAAATTTGTATCATCAAATATGATAAACAATTCACTACAACTAATTATAACCTAAAAACTCAGAGCTGAATTGCTCTATCAAACATACAAAGCCCTCTTCTTATTAGGTATTTTATTTTAAGTTGTTTCAAATTCCAAAAATACTATTGCAGTGGATTAGAACTCATATACACACATTATTATTTTTTCCCATTCCACTTTCTATTTATATATATATATATATGCAATGTTCATTAATTTTAAGTTACAGAAATGTGAACGCTTTCATTTTATTTTATTTTTTGGATCAGCAAAAAGAAAAAAAGTGTACACAATACAAAGGCAACACCAATAAAAAAAGTGCAAAAACTATCAAAATAAAACAAAGTAAATCCATCCAAACTAGATTGCCACTGATATACTAACTCAATCATTTGCAAACACACCACAAAAGTTGGTGAGGAACCAACCAATACAACACCATAGAAACAACCAGCATTCAAGCTCATCTCAAATTACAACATCAACCAAACCCTAGCCTAGCATTAGACCCCCCAACGACGGCAAAAACAGTAGAAAAAGCTTGAGTCAGCCATACATCCTATCAAATTTAGCAGCCAAAAATCAATCAAACAGCAGCAACATCCAAAGGAACCCAGAGCAAAGGACCAGTGAAGAAGTAGCTGAGTCCTTCCCTCAACTACTTCCCATGAACCTAACCGAGAGTGAAGTACTTATGAAAAGATTACCCGCCCACATCCACAAGAACCCCAACATACAACTTCCTTTCATGGTGTGCTCACAGAATTGACCATTTTATTTTGATGTTATTGCATTTCACATGATGAAATGTCTCTTAATTATTATTAGTTTTTATTTTTTGGTTTGGATGATTATGTTGGTTTGGTTTGGTTATGATTATGATTATGTGTGAAGGCTCAAATTGTTCCTATTAGTAATCTAGCTAGAAGGCGCTTTTCGTTTCACGCAATTATTGAGTGTTTCCAGAATATCATGTGGTATTACTTGTATGGAAGTCAAAATTAATGGCATAACGAAAATCTTATGGGTAAAGCATGGTAAATCTTTGTTGCGTAAGTAGGAGATAAGGGATGACCCACACTATGTGAGTTGAAATTTCCACTAGCCGAGATCACCAATCTCAAATTATTTAATAATTTTCTATTTTGGGAGGGAATTGTTAGTGCCAATAAAAGCACAAAATTAAAAATGTTGTGCTTTAGATAATTTTACATATGCTACTCCAGATTTTTTAATAGTGATATGAAATGAAGGAAAATAATATATAAGTCTATTTTCTAAACTCACTTTCTAGACTTAATAATATAAAAATAAGATGATTGGTTGATAATTAAAAAAGCATAAGAGAGAGAGAGTTGTATTGGATATTCTAATAGACCATCACATTATTAAATTTGAAAAGTAAGTCTAATTTTTGGACCTAAGTGGCATTACCAATGAAGGAAATAATTCGGGCTACCAATCTTTTTTCAGTGAACATGAAAAAGTTTTTGTTTGCTTACTTTTTTGAGTAATGAAAGGATCATTTTAGGGTTCATTTTATTTCATATTATTTATTCTTAATATAACATCTCAAAGTTGCCAATCAATCTCCACCATGCTTCCTTATTGTAAACTAATCTATTTTTCCTAACAAAATTTAACTACTTTTAGTTTATCTCAATCTGCTTTTGTTAATAATCTGACTTACTTCAAAATGGGAGGTATATTCAACCATTTCAAAATTTAAATTTGTGTGACAGTAATTATAGAAGCAAATCACTAGAATCTAATTATAATCCTAACAATTTCCACAATTTTTTACTTTTAAAAGGAAGACATATTTTTCCTTTATCAACAAAAGAGAAGCTTTATTGATTGTAATCAAAATTCAATACAAATGACATACATCACTAAAAATGATTGCAACTAGGTTGGCACCAAAAACCCAAACCCTATCATTTGCTAGCACAACACCAAGTTGGTGAGGCACCAACCAACAAAACAACCCAGAAAGGACAAAAAACAAAAAAAAAAAGACACAGCAGCCAAGGCCCTCATCCCATCCAACATCAACCCTACATATCTAGCTGCAGCAACTACACCACTCTTCCTCCTAAGCAAACTCTAATCTGCCTCAAATTATAAATAAAGTCGTGAATTGTGAATTGAGATTCCTTAGTGCTTGAATTCATCCATAATGCGACTCTCATTTTGATCAATTCACATAGCTCAGCCAGATTAGGAGCAATTGCCTTCAACACACATTCATTCCTATGTTTCCACAAGGACGATAGTACAGCCGGGGGAATTGCTCTTCAAATCTTTCTTTCTTCTTAAGTCTCACCCCAGACCACTGTTTAAATTTGTATCATCAAATATGATAAACAATTCACTACAACTAATTATGACCTAAAAACTCAAAGCCGAATTGCTCTGTCAAACATACACAGCCCTCTTCTTAGTAGGTGTTTTATTTTAAGTTGTTTCAGATTCAAAAAATACTATTGCAGTGAATTATAACTAATATACGTTATTATTTTTTCCCATTCAACTTTCTATATATATACATATATGCAATGTTCGTTAATTTTAAGTTACAGAAATGTGAAGGCTTTCATTTTCTGTATTTTTTATTTTTTGGATCAGCAAAAAGAAAAAAGAAAAAAAAAAAAAAAGGCACATAATACAAAGGCAGCATCAATAAAAAATTAAAAAATAATAATAAAAATAATGCAAAAATTATCAAAATAAAACAAAGTAAATCCATTCTAACTAGATCGACACCGATACACTTACTCAATCATTTGAAAGCACAACACAAGAGTTGGTGAGGAACCAACCAATACAACAGCATAGAAACAACCAGCATTCAAGCCCATCTCAAATTACAACATCAACCAAACCCTAGCCTAGAACCACCCCAAGGATAGCAAAAACAGCAGAAAAAGCTTGAATCAGCCATACATCCTACCAAATTTAGCAGCCAAAAATCAATCAAACAGCAGCAACATCCAGAGGAACCAGAGCAAACGACTAGGAAAGAAGTAGCTGAGTCCTTCCCTCGACTGCTTCCCATGAACCTACCCAAGAGTGAAGTACTTAAGAAAAGATTATCCACCCACATCCACAAGAACCCCAACATACAACTTCCTTTCATGGTGTGCACATAAAATTGACCATTTTATTTTGATGTTATTGCATTTCACATGTTGATGAAATGTCTCTTAATTATTATTTTTTGGTTCGGATGATTATGTGTAAAGGCTCAAATTGCTCCTATTGGTAATCTAGCTAGAAAGGGCTTTTAGTTTGACGTAATTATTGGGTGTTTCCAGAGTATCACGTGGTTTTACTTGTATGGTAGTCAAAATTAATAGCATAAAGGAAATCTTATGGGTAAAACATGGTGAATCTTTGTTGGGTAAGTAGGAGATAAGGGATGACCCACACTATGTGAGTTAAAATTTTTACTAGCCGAGATTACCAATCTCGGATTATTTAATAATTTCTTATTTTGGAAGGGAATTGTTAGTGCCAATAAAAGCACAAGATTAAAAATGTTGTGCTTTAGATGATTTTACATATGTTACTCCAGAATTTTTAACAGTGATATTAAATGAAGGAAAATAATATGTAAGTCTATTTTCTAAACTCAGTTCCTAGACGTAATAATATATAAATAAGATGATTGGTTGACAATTAAAAAAGATATGAGAGAGAGAGTTGTATTAGATATTTCAATAGATTGTCACCTTATAATATACAAGTCTCTTAATTCAAGCTATCAATCTTTTTTCAAACTAACAGTGAACATGTAAAAGTTTTAGATTGTTTACTTCGAGTAATGAGGGGATCATTTTAGGGTTCATTTTATTTTTCATATTTTTTTTATTCTTAACATCTCAAAGTTGCCAATCAACATTTTAAAGGGTTGTTTGGCATAATCTAGATTAATACAAAAAGTCAAACAGTTACAAAAGAAGTCAAAAGGCTAGAATTTTTTTCCTAAAATTATGGAAAGCGTGCCTGGGAAAGTCTTTCTTGTGAAAAGACGCAATTGCCCTACTACTGATTTGATCTCTACCTCTGCCGCACCTGCACAACAAAAAACATAAAATTAAAAATAAAAAAAACAAAAAAAACAATGAGACTTCACAATAGGGGCAAATGTAAGTTCACAATTCTATATTATTTAATTATCATGTTTTTTTCTAAAAAGTCAAAAAGTACCATTTTTTTTTTTCCCCCAACTATTTTAGCAAAAAAATAAAAAAGTTACTAAAATAACCTATTCCCAAACAACCCCTTTAACATCTCAAAGTTGCAATCAATCTCCACTAGGCTTCCTTATTGTAATCGCTTTATTTAGTAATAAATTTTCTTTTCCTGATAAAAATAAAAGTTGCCAATCAATATTTTTTTTTTGATAAATTCATTATGTAAGATTGATTTTGGTGTACTATACATGATAACAATCAGGCATTATTATTTTCTTTGGGAAAACTATTAAAAAGCAGCATCAACACAAAATAATTACAATGTCATAGAAGTACAACCAAATTATGCATCAACTAGTAAGTCTTATACTTTCATCTCTTTATAATTATTTTGAGTTTATACCACTTTTTTGCAATTGTTTCCTTTTTTTTTTTTTTTACACAAATGAGTTAAGACCATATTTGTTTGGACATATTAGTTAGACGGATTAGCATTGGATTATCAATCCCTTTGGGTTGTGAATCCTATCTCATATTTGGACTGGCTCAAGATTATAAGAGTAACTGCAATGCAATTGTTATAGTAGTTGCTATCCCTAAATTATAACTTCATCCAAAAAAACAAGTAAAAATATGCCACATAGGTTGTCCAGACATGACAATGCCAAACTTTGTGTCAAATGTGGCGCAAGGTTTGGCAAAATACTAAATTTTGGCTAGAGCTCCTCTCTCTCTCTCTCTCTCTCTCTCTCTCTCTCTCTCACACACACACACACACACACACACACACACACACAACGGGTCCATAAATAGCATTTTGATTTATTTTGTGTACAAAATTTAAGAAATGACTAGTGTACCATTAGAGCAAAATTGTTAAAATTTAAGGCCTTGTTTGGGATAAACTAAAGTTATTTAAAAAACTAAAAAGTCTATACTATTCAAGGGTAGCGTGTGAGGGAAGCCACTAAGGCAAAATTATTATTTTGCCCTTTGAATTCAAGTACCCAAAAAGTCAAAAAGTTAAAAGTCAAAAGGATAAAATGGTCATTTTGATTTTACTACAATATTTTATTACACATCTTTTCATAAAAAGTCAAAAAATTATCCCAAACATACATCACTTTTTAACCAAAGAGTCAAAAAGTGCACTTTTATAACACATCCCAAACAACTACTTAGTATTTTCATACTTTAGCAATGCTAAAATATGACTTTGACTATCTATTTTAACAATGGAGATGGAATTGATAGTCCATATTCACTGTGGTGCTCCACTTTATATCCTACCATTTTCCTGAAATTCATTAATCTCTCATACCCATTTCTTGAAATTCAGAGACATACGATGGATATTGTGTCCAGATTAGGGGTAAGCATGGTTCAGTTTGGTTCGGTTTAGGAGTAGACTAAAACCAAACCACCACCTACGGTTCCAAGAAATTTGGAACCAAACCAAAACCATAAAAAATTTGGAACCAGACCAAAGAACCAGTAAAACATGATTTGGTTCGGTTTGGAGCCATGGTTTCTAGAAACCTTGTTTATAACATGATGACAAAATATTACTCACAACCTGCTCAAATATCAAGCAATATGCCATTATTTTATTAATAATAATAGTTTAGATAATTCTATTACTATACAAGAACAAGTTGTTAGAATAGATGATTGACAATTTCTGTATAAAAATAAGATACAAATCAGGTACTTGAGTGTTTACAGTAAATAATAAAATATATATATACACGGATAGCTAAATAGTCCGATTCAATTCCATACAGTTCCATAACTATAAAACTACAATCAAACCATTAAGTATGGTTCGCTTCTTCCAAGAAGTCGGACCAAACTGTGCATTAAGAAAATCAAATCAAACCATGCAATTTGGTCCGGAATCAGGATTGGACCAATTTGCAGTTTTTTCAATTTTTTTTGCTCGTAGTTTATGGATTTTCTGGGGTAACACTTGGAGGGAATACTGACATACTAACTAAAGTTTAACAATTTTTCTCTATTTTTTATTTTATTTTATCGGCTAAAGTTAGTTGTTAGTAATAAGACTAACACCTATAATAGTTTTTTTTTATTGGTGAAAGTCAGTTGTTAGTTGTTAGACTAATATTTATGAGAGTTAGTCTACCCACTCTATGCAAAGCACCAAGTGTTTGCCCCCTTAATTCAACTCCCCTAAGGAGAGTTAAACTCATGACTTCCCCCTAGAGATTTAGCTCTTAGGAAAGTCAATGGTTAGCAGTTTTGATAAATTACACCAGTGTTTCTTATATTTTGCTCCTTATGTCATTTTGGTCCTTCCACTTTCAATTGGCCCAATTTTGACCCTTAATTTCAAATTTTGTGTCATTTTGGTCCAATTGACAATATCGTTAGTATTTTTGATGAAAAATAATTGAGTTTATCCCATTGAGTTTAATAAATTTATAATTCTACTTTAAAAAAATGACATATGCCACTTATATAGGGTTTGTTTGGGAAGTGGGTTGGCTTTTTGGCTTTTTTGGCTATTTTAGCTTGGGAGCTAAAAAGCTTGATTTGGAAAGGGCTTTTGGCTTTTTTGGCTTTTTTGTGAGAGAAATAATGTAATAATTATGGGTTGAATGTGATATTTTGTCTTATTGGGCTAAAAATCCTATTTTGTTTTTTGTGGCTAAAATAGCCAAAAAAAGCTTGGCCTTTGGCTTCCCAAACGAAGCCATACATATTTTTCATAATAAAATGTTAAAGGCTTGTAATCAATTAGACCAAATTGAAACAAAATCATAAATTCAGAGTCAAAATAAAGCCAATTGAAATTATAGGGAGCAAAATAACACGAAAACCAAAGTATAAGGACTGCTGTCGCAATTTACCTAATAATTTTCTTCTATTGATACACAATGTTTGATTAATAAAAATCATGTTTAGAAGTATGATTCCACAGCTCAAGCTAATTTCAATTCTTTGACATATTAAAATAAAATTGTAATAGGTTTTTTATTTAGGCAGACGTGACTTTGGAATTGCATAAAAAAAATTAAAAAATTTAAAAATATGTAGTAACCTAAATACAATTTTTCAACAAATGTTGAAATCACCCACAAACATTCAGAGCATAGTAATTTGAATAGAATGTGATGAAATTATGGGGTACTTAATAATAATTATAGATCTGCGAATGGTGTGATTATTACTTCATAAATAATAGCATGTGTGTGACAGAACTAAAGAACCAGGAACAAAATAGTACTGACCGAAGCTACCTTGGCTGAAGCCGGACACACCCATGGACGATCAAGACCCACTACCACAGCCGAACAAGACCCACTGCCACTTCCACTTCCATGGTCGGAAAACCTCTTCTTTTCCGACCCAAACACCAAACACACCCACTGCTAAAGCTCCTCCACCACCCCTATATTGTTGACCCAACGCCGACCTCCTCTTAATCGAAGCAACCGCCAAGACACCTCCATGCATCTGGACGGAGTTCACCCTCAAACTCCCACTTGCATAGGAGCGCTCGAATGAAGACCTAAACAAATCTGGATCGTCTTCGACACCCATGTTTTCCCCCAAACAAAGTGCCACCCCTTAAAACTCCCACTCGCATAGGAGCGCCCAAATGAAGATCCCAACCAAATCGAGAGCGTCCTCTTTGCCGACCCAAAACCGATCGAAGACCTCCTTCTTCACTGTGTGGTTAACAAACACCGCTGCTACATCAACCATCCATCAACCCCCACTGCCGCAAACATCGCAGATACAGTGATATATCTGATACGAAAATCCCTGAGATTGGTAGATCCGATATGTAAACCCCAATGAACACCCATCAACGTTCACCGAAACACCAAAAATTAAAGATCAACAGCAACAAAGAAAGCACATATGGGTGGGAAAACAATGGGGGATTCAAGTTTATTAAAAGGAAAAACCAATGCATAAACACAAGAGGAAGCTTGGCCAGCCGACCGCGCTTGCCAAAAGTGAGGCCCGGGGTGGAGGTTTATAAAGAGAGACAGCACTGCTACCACTTGACAACTACTAATACCATATTAATAAGTAAACCAGACATGGCATGATTATTTAAGCAACAAAAACGATTGTATAAGCATATGTGAGAATACATTGTAAATCTTACAAATTAGGCATGATTGTGGTTCTATCTTTATGAGGAAGGAGGACAAAACAAGCAGACCCAAAGACATGCAGGAGGTAATAATTGGAAGGTTGGGAATACAGAGCCGCATAAGGGGATCGACCGGAGAGTAAGGGAGTTAGCATGCGATTAAGGAGGAAAGCCACAGTAAGAACTGCCTAACCCCAAAATGGTGCCGGAACAAAGGCAGGGAGAAGAAGAGATCAAGCTGTCTCAAGGAAATGACGGTGTTTACGCTCAGCACGACCATTTTGGGCAAGTGTATCAGTACAGGAGGTTTGGTGAATAGTGCCCAATTTGGCTAAATACTCACAGAATTCAGTTTTAAAGTATACCCCACCCAAGTCAAACCGGAGTATTTTAATTATGGCCCCAAATTGTGTACTGATCATAGATTGAAAGGTACGATATATTTGGTAGAAGTCAGATTTATGAGCCATAAGATAAACCCAGGTATAGCGAGTACAATCATCAATAAAGGACACATAATACGCAGAACCCCCATTAGTGAGAATAGGAGAAGGTCCCCAGACATCAGTATGTACAAGAGAAAAAGGAGAAGCACAAATAGAAGTACTGTGATTAAAGGGTAAAGCTGTCATTTTAACAAATTTACACCCTCGACACTCATTAATTTGACTAGTAGAAACTTTACCTAACAATCCTGGCTGAGCTAAAACCGCAAGCGATCAACAGACAAATGACCCAAGCGAGAATGCCATAAATAAAACTGACTCGACTGAGAATCTAACTGAAAAGATGAAAGTGCAACGAGGGAGGTAGACTGAGGAAGATTCAGGCTTTCCACCACATAGAGATCTCCAATTCTACAGCCGGTCCCAATCTGCTTCTTAGATACCTGATCCTGCACACAATAGACAGAAGAAGAAAAAATAACATCAAAACCAGAAGCATCAAGCTGACTGATAGAAAGCAAGCTAACAAACAGTTGAGGAACATAAAGAACAGCGGGAATAGTAACAGCAGACATAGCAGAGGGTAAAACAGACCTAATAGATAGGACAGACATACCAGACCCATTAGCAATATTTATAATTATAGGAAAGGGAAGGGGGGATACAGTTTTGAAATAAGGAGAGGTGAGGAGTCATATAATGAGAGGCACCAGAATCAAAAAGCCAAACAGAGGAAGGAATACTTTAAGAGGACCCAAGCAAACCTGAATGAGGAGAGATGAGAATAGAGGCAGATGAAAATGACTGAGAGGTGGACCAGAGATGTTGAAGCTGAGCAATTTGAGCACTCCAAGTCAGGATCAAAAGCTGGAGCAGAGGCAGTATAAGCAACAGGAGGGCGAAAAGTATTCGGAGCAGGACCTCGGGACTGTGGCTGAGGCGGCTGAGAAGACTGAGCAGACTGACGGCCTTTTTTGGGACAGTTGTACTTCCAATGGCCCTTTTGATGGCAAAAAGCACACTCATCATAGGCTAGTGGCCCCTGCTTCGACTTTGCATTGGCCTGAAGTTGATGAGGTGGGGGGTTTAGTAATAGAGGAGACGGAATAGGAGCCAAGAAGACAGATGGAGATAGAGTCTGATTGGTCGTCTTAAGACGGGTTTCCTCGGAGAGGAGCTCATGAACAATAGCATCCATAGAGGGAAGAGGAGACCGATGGAGGATGCCACCACGGATAGCCTCATACTGAGGAGAGAGAGCCGTTAAGAATTGCATTAAACGACCTTGCTCCCGAAACTCAACATAAGCGTCAAGTGTCTTGAGGATAGATGGTTCCATGAGAGCCAGTTGATCCCAGAGGCTTGTCATCACAATGTAGAAGTCTTGAATAGACAGATCCCGCTGACGAGCTCCCTGAATAGCTATTTCCAACTCATACTGTTTGGCAAAGTTGGACTACTGATAAACACTTTGTAAGTAATCCCACACCTCTTTGGCAACGTTATATTTAGAGAACATCATCCCAATCCGGTCATCTACAGAGTTATGGAACTAGGTCAAGACTTGAGCATTATCACAATCCCAAGTGTCACAGGAACTCAGATAGTCTTCTTATTTGGAATCCGATGAACGAGGAACAGAACCAGAAACAAAAACATATCCGAGAAAAAAATTTCTCATAACACTAGACCAATAAGCATAGTTGTCACTTGTAAACTTGCATTTAATAGCTTGGATTTTATCTTCCGACATTGTAATGAACCAGAAATAAAAGAAAAAGGAACTGATGGGGCACAGTGATAACACCCAATAAAGTTGAGGGGTCAACCTATAATAATCCAAAGTTTGAGACAGTGGGGTCAATTACTAATTTACTAGTGGACTTGAAAACAAAACACAGAGAACCGAAGATAGAGAGAGCAAAGACCAGACAACGAGACCGAAGACCAGAGAGAGAGCCAAGGCAGAGGTCACGAGAGAGTGAGAGAGATCCCTCAAGCCCAAACGAGACCAGAGACCAGAGAGAGAGCCAAGGCAGAGGTCGCGAGAGAGTGAGAAAGATCCCTCAAGCCCAAACTAGACTCGCGACTTCAGACCAAGCACCAGAAAGCAATCGCGATGTCGACGAAGACAAAGAGGGCTGTCGCGATTTCAGAGAAGACTTTTGGAGAGAGCTGTGGCGATTGCCACGACCCAGAGGGCTGGCTTCGATCAACCCAGAAAGACCCAGCAAGCAGGAACGAAGAACTTCGAATGATTTGAATGATCAAGGCCAGACCTAGGGTTTCGGACGTGGCTCTGATACTATGTAAGTTTTCTGTAGAGCAGACAACTCATCCTCTATAGCTTGAATCCAATGAGGATCCTGACATGCCTCCTTGTAAGACTGGGGTTCTGAAAGAGTGAATAGCAGACAAAAAAGTATGATAGGAAGTAGAAAAACACATATTAGACCAACTCAACCTGTTTGGAGGATGACGCGCTCGAGTAGGATATCGGTGTTCAACAAGATCGATGTTGTTAGAAGCAGGAGGAGTAACAGCAGGGGTAAAGACAACTGGTGGAATAGAAACCTTGCTACTAGAATAAACTAATAATGGCGGAGAAGCAACTAGAGGTGAAGAAAGATGAGAAGATGGAACAAGCTCAGGAGGAACAGTAGAGATGTACAACCACAACCACAATCATGCCTAATTTGTAAGATTCACAATGTATTCTCACAGCAGCACCCAAGCTGAAACTACAGATCTTAAATGAGAAAAGAAATCGATCCTTTACCTTCGAAGGGTGATAGTGGCTTCTCCTTGGTGTTATCATTTTGCTTCTTCTGTGGTTGGAGTGGGGATACCAACTCCCTGAGCTGGCTTATAGTCAGGTTTGCGTCTGAAGATGATTCTCCAAAAGTTATCACATTAGTGGGAGTAGGATTAAATGAGAGAAAATCATCAACAGAAATCCACGAATTAAGGTTTAGAGTGTGAGAGTATACTATTTTGCAAATAAACATGCATTTCACTAGAATAAATCTCAACAGAAATAGTTGAGTTGAGAAGTGTAACCTTAAGAAAAATAGCGCATTACTTGCAACAATCCTCCTCCAGCTCCTCTCTCACTTGCTTCTCTCTCATTGCTCTCCCTTCTCCCTCACTTTATAAACACATAAGTAGGCTTACGCATGTATGTATATATGCATGTATAGGATAGAAATTAGCTGGATGTGTTGAGGAGGAGATGGTGATTGTCATGTGTTAGAGAGAAAACGAAAAGGATAGCTAAGTGCTGTAGAGAAAGAAGATGTGCATATGGTTGGAGAAGTTATGCATGACCAAATGATCCTTATTCCTTTTGGGATTGGTAGAGGAGCATAATAATTTATATATACAAAATGTTTTTAAAAAAAGAGAGAAAATTGGTGATAAACCCAATCTAAAGAGAGTGTAAGACATTAGGTTCAGTGAATATTTTTTGTTGGTAAAAGGTTCACACTTTGTGAAATAGTTTGGTGAGAAATCCTAGAAGACATTTTGTTTTTTATTTTACACCTTGACCTTTTTTTTTCTGTTTGACTTTTCGTTGATTATCTGTTCAATTTTTTTGTCTAATCTGTTCAAATTTTTTGGCTATTTGTTCAATTTTTTCCCAATTTTGTTCAATTTTTCTTCTAAGTTCTATTTATCTATTCAATTTTATATCTGTCTGTTCTATTTTGTACTGTAAATTCTATCTATTGGTTCAAAATTTTTAACTATCTATTCAATTTTCCCACTAAATTCTATCTATCTGTTCAAATTTTTTCCTAAATTTTATCTATCTATTCAATTTTTTTCTATCATTTGAAAATCTGTATTAACTTTTTTGTTTATCTGTTGCAATCATCAACATCAATTTTTCCCCCGTTTGTTCAAAATTTGTAGATTTCTCTCTCTATCTATTTAAAATCTATGAATTTCTCTCTATTTGTTTAAAACCTATCTTATTTTTCCCTATCTCTTGAAATCTATCTATTCAAAATTGAATAGATCCAATATAAATTCTTTTAAACCTATCTTGAACAAATATGTCCAAATGTTTTTTTAATCGGTTGCAATATGTTTCATCATCATCATAATCATCATCAACAACAACAAACAACTAATTTGACTAACACAATGATATCCAATCTAAAAAAAAAAATTAACACAATGATATGATCATATACAAATAATGTATATCATCATGAGATGATCATCATCATTAGAGATCGTGAAGATGAGGACAATGAAGAAGAGCAATCTCTTTGAGAGGCATCCAACGCCAAGCCACACCAAATCCAATCTCACTATCCTCTTCCATTCCCAAATCATATGTCCTCCTCAAAAAGACTGAGCAAAAAACATACGAACACAGTTATGCCTCTCAGAGTTAAAGTTATTTTTTCCCTACCTTGAGCAACCTTGAATCCTCTTTTTGGAATTGGGAGCTTATCCGCCACCACCTCTGGCCATCGAAGGATCAACAAAGCCATGTTCCAGTGGAATTACCGCCGAAGTTGAGAGACCCACTTCTTGTGGAAACCATGGTCTAAGGAGAGAAGAGAGATTGAGATTTGAGAAGAGAAAATAGATCGAGATTTGAGAGAGAGATTGCAAAGAGAGAGAGAGAGAGAAGAGACTACAGAGGCCTTCAAGACTATCGTCACTATGTCCCATGGATCGGCAAGTTCGAACCAAGTGCGGAGGATCTACAAATCTATGGATTTCAGTGTTGAATCGACGACGGCGAAGATGAAGGCAACGGTGTGTGTGGAGAAAAGAGAGAGAGAGAGAGAGAGAGAATCTAGATCAATGGACAAAGGTGGTGGTGTCGGCCGCGACGGAGGTGTGGTGTCAAAGACGGCAACAGAGCTGTGGTGGTGAAGTCTAGAGAGAGATTGGCGATGGAGAGCTCCTTCCATATCTAAGCCACGATGAACATTTCTTAGCAATCATTTCTGAGATAGGGAGGAAGGGAGGCGAGCGACAGAGGCGGTGGTGGATGGGTTGTGAGAGAGCCAGGGGAGACAAGTGGCGACAAGGGAGGGAGGAGGGGAGACAAGTGGAGAAGGTGGTGATGGAGCAGCTGCGCAAGAGAGAGAGAGAGAGAAGAGGCAAGCGGCAAAGGCGCCCTACTGCAATAGTGAGGTAAAAAGAAAGAGTAGAAAGAAGAGAGACAGTAAAAAGAGAGAGCTAAAAAATTGGTGTGAAGGACCGTATTAACATATATATATATAATGGGTAGTTTGGTCTTTTTACACTAGCTTGTCCTCATAGACAAAGTGTTTTGGTGTCTGGACCTACGACCAAAATTTTTTTGGCCTGAGCACCCTAAAAAATATATATTTCAGCCATCATACATGATTATTTATCGATTTTTATTAATTAATAAGAAAATAATATTTTAATCATTAAACTCAATAAAAAAAATTTAACCATAAAAAAAAAGAAAAAATTGGTGAAAAATCTACTCCAACAATTGTCTAAGGCATTAGATCCAAGAGATATTTTTTATTGATGAGAGGTCCTAGATAACATTTATTTCCAACTTTATCCCTTGATTTGTTTTTATTTATTTGACTTTTCGTTAACTATCTATTTAAATTTTATCAATTTGTTCAAAAAAATTTCTATCTGTTCAAATTTTTGTCTATCTGTTGACTTCTTGTAACCTATCTATTGAATTTTTATAATTTATTTTTTCTATCTATTCAAATTCACGCTATTTTCAAACTCTCTCTCCAACTCTCTTTCTCTCTCTACCTGTTTCTCTCTCTTCTATTGTCTCTCTCAATCTGGTGAATTTTTTTTGAATCTATCTGTTAAATTTACTAAAAGCTTCTTTTTAATCTATCTGTTCAAATTTTGATCCTATCCATTAAATTTTTTGATTTTATCTGTCTAAATTTTGATCCGGAATTTTGATCTGTTCATTTTTTTGACCTATCTGTTCAATTTTTGTACCAAACACAACATTTTCTGTCCAAAACACAACAGATAGACAAACACACACATCCAGAGAAATAACCAACAACAACAAAAACAACCACAATAATAGACAAAAATCATCAACAACAAAAAAAAACAAAAACAAAACACAACATTGATATGTCCATTCAGCTTCAAATCAGAGACCTCTCCACCAACCATATTATTCACCTTAACGAGTGTGATATGTCCATTTCTTACAGGAAGACACCTCGAGGAGAGCTTGAACTACACATTTCAAACAACACCATATTCAGAAACTCAAACCAACACATCAAACACACATGCATATGAATATATATATATATATATATATATATATGCCGAGACAGAGAGAATCAAAAAATCAAGATCTATTCAACACTGACCTAGAAAACATGTGAGACTCCTCTGCCTCGACTCCAGCCCCAACCAAACTCTCCCTAACCGCACGCACTGTAAACTCCTCTTCCAATGCATCACCAACTTCGTCTCCATGGATCTCATGGCCAACACTCTTCTCTCCGCCGGCGCATTTCCAGCTATGATACACTCGCTTCATGAGATTCCCGACTTCACCCGACGCTCTCTTTGTAAACGTCGGTACTCTCCCCGCCGAGTGGTTGCCGACGATGAAATCGGCGGCGCAGTCGGGTAAGCCTTTCCGATCTATATGGAAGGGCAGTCACCTCCTCCGTGACTGACTTTTTCGGCGGTGGCGCACGGCGGAGGAAGAGATCATGCGACATAGAAGGCCGGAGCCGCCGCTGTTCGTCGGCGCGATCTTAGATCTCAGATCTGGATCTCAGTCTGTTCGTTGGCCTCCTCACTGCTGTCATCGGCCTACGGGTTCAGCGCATCCTAGATCGGCTTCACCGCGCTCCGCTGGCGCCGGTCGTCAATGATGCTCATGAGAGAGAGAATAGAGAGACACAGTTGAAGGAGACGAGACACAACAGAGAGACAGAGAGACGGGTTTAAGAAAAAAAAAGTCACCCCCACGTCCCCATCTGCCTTTTTATTGGAAAAAAAAACAAATTTTTTTTTTTGAGTAATGATTCATCCCCTTTTTCTCCCACCTCTTTTGACCCCCTCTCTCTCATTGGTTACCTTTTCTTTTTATTTTTCTTTTTTTTCCTGCTCCTCCAATCACCCCCTGTCACGTGGCAAAGGGGTGAGGGGTGACCCCCAAAAGGGGGTCCCAAGCATTATTCTTTTTTTTTTTTTTTGAAAAATGAGTTGGACCCTCATGGAGGCATCCCCTTTGACCCTCTTTCTCTCTGATTGGTTAATTTTTTTTATTTTTTTTTTTCTTCTCCTCCAATCACCACCCCACGTATGTGTAGGGATAGTGGGGTAGTCATTGGAGGGGTCTTAATCACTTCCTCTTTTTTTTTATTTTCTTCTCCACCACTCACCAACCCACATGCGTGGGGAGTAGTGGTGGGGATGGGTATCTGAGGGGTCTTCGTAACAGCTACGGATTTAAATAGGAGGTGTGGTTTTAAATATATGGGTAAGTTAGAGTAAGGGGTTGTTTATGGTATTTTAAATAAATGTATTTTTTATCTTTTTAAATTAAAAAGGTAAGAGAAAAATATAGACATTTGGATTAATTTTTTAATTTTTTTATAAAAAAATTATATAAATAAGTGTGTAGAAAAAGTTATCGATTCGGCCGTACATATTGGGCAGGCCGATGGGTTGGTATGAGATGGAAAATGATTGCTTACTTTTCGAGTTTGAATTAGATGGCGTTGTTCGGCCCGTAAAAATCTACCACAAGTCTCATTTTGCTAATCGGAACCGTACAATGTGTAGAATTCGTCGAGTACTATATGTTTATAAAAAATCACGTTGATTGGATATTCATAACTAATCTGATCGTGTTAGTTTTTCTTGTCAGCTGTTAACTATAACATCATTCATTTTTTATACAAAAAATTGATTTGATCATGTAGTTAGCGATTTTCGATCAACGTGATTTTTATAAAGTATATAATTCTGAACGAGTTTTACATATTCAACGGTTCGGATTATCAAACGGGACCCGTGATGGCCCCCATGAGCCCAATATTTCCATCAAACTTAGTGATTTTATATATGTAATTCTTTTTTTTCCATCACGATACGAAAAGATCAATTCAACATGGACTTGCAAAATTAAAACTAAAGGAAGGAGAAAATAACACAAATGACTTGCTACATCTCTCTTTTTCTTTTATTTTATTTTGGATACATTATAAATATATTCCTAAATTTTTTTCAAAATACAAATTGCCCCTTATACTTTAAAAATTTACAAATACCCTCTTATTGTAATTTTTTATTTAACAAAATTAACTAAAAAAATAAAATTTATAATTGTTTTTTTATATAATAATAAAATTACATAAATTATTAATTGAAATATATTTTTAACATCATTAAAAATAATTAATTGACTTGATAATTTATTAATAAAATGAGCGATTTTTTATCAAATTAAAAATCTTAAGGAATGAAATATAATTTTTAAAATTATAAGAGCGATTCATATTTTAATCAAATCTTGAAGTTTTATTTATAGTTTACTCATTTAGTTATTATGCAAAAGTATATCTTTGGCTTGGTTTGACATGTCCTAAATAATACAAAAAGTCAAAAAGTCACTATCCTATTTAAGTCACATCATCTTATTTAAATCACATCACCTCTCTAATACATCACATCAAACCCAACCCATATAAGCCAATAAATTAAAAAGTGCACTTTTTTAGAACATTCCAAATTACATATAATAATTTGGGGCTTAGATTTTTGGATTAAAGAAATTTGGATTTGATCATTAGACAGAGCGCCCATAAAAAATAAAATAAAAAATAAAAAATTTAATTTTCATAAAATTAAATTTAAAAAATTAAAACCAAATACAATAATTACTCAGGTACAACTTCAGTGGTACCAAAGTAAAAATTTGAACAAAAAATTTTCTAATATTTTTGGATTATTTTAAAAAGTTAATTAAAAGTTAATATTTAAATTTTTTTATATCACATTACTCATTTTTTTAATTATATATTTTTTTAAAAAAATTAAAAAATTAATTTAATCTATTTCTCAAAATAAATTTGTTGTGAAATTTTAAAATAGGTGAGGGCATAGGCAGCAATTTGGAAGTTTAAATAACGTGGCAGATACACCATAAGCCCTGAGAACAATTTGAAACGGAATTACATATTTAAATATAATTATATTAAAATATTGATGGTTGAATATGTTAAAATAATCTAAACTATTAAATTAACTTATATGTATATATATATATTCTGTCTTTCTATGTATTTCGAGAGGAGTTATTGATTGGTTTTAGAGTATCGCTGAGTAATTTGGAAAGATTAATTTTTTAATTTTTTTTAAATATTTTAACTTTTTTGGATCACGTTGCTTCTCTATTATTTTATACATGTTAATGTATGTTATCTCTTATACTTATCTCTCTTTATATCTCTATTTCTATCTCCTTGTATCTCTATCTTCTTCTATACTTATTTAGGTTTCTTTTCGAGGGATTTGGTGATAGCCCCTCACTATCTAATTTGTCTTTCAAAAGGACAAGAATTATATAAGTACTTTCAAAACTCCCTAATATTTTAAAATTTGCTTCTTTTACCATATTACCCTCATAAAATTTTACTCTATATGACAGTAAAATTTTACTCGGTATGAAAGTAAAATTTTACTCTGTATAAAAATAAAATTTTACACTCTGAAACTAAAAGTAAAATTTTACTCTGTGTAAAAGAAAAATTTTACTCTAAAAAACGAGTAAACTGTGAGACTTTGAAGATGAAAGTAAAATTTTACTCTGTATAAAAGTAAAATTTTACACTCTGAAACTAAGAGTAAAATTTTACTCTGTATAAAAGTAAAATTTTACTCTGAAAAACGAGTAAACTATGAGACTTTGAAGCTAAAAGTAAAATTTTACTCTGAATAAAAGTAAAATTTTACTCTGAAAAACTAGTAAAATGTTAGACTCTACACAAAAGTAAAATTTTACTCTGTATAAAAGTAAAATTTTACTCTGGTTCTGTCAAATGAAAAAACAGAACAATAGAACCAGAGTAAAATTTTACTCTGATTCTATTAAATGAAATTTGATAAAAAAAAACAACAAAAATAAATCAAAAACAAAACAAACAAAAACAAAACAAATTAATCAACAAATCAACATATCTAATCGAGAAGAAAAACTTCTAAAACTCGATCAACAATCATAAATCTCAATGAAAAGAATACGTATGTTCAACAATACTCATACACACAAATATATATATATATACATATATTCTCAAAATCTTGAATGAGGAATGTAACAGTTGCGAGATCTTCAGATTTGGAGATCGTCTTCATCGATTTTGTGAAGTATGATCGATTTGGAGATCGTCTTCATCGTCTTCATCGGCTACGAGCTCAGATTTCAAATTTTTCATACGTATGATACTATATATATAAGGGCAATATTGTGATAAAAAAAAATAGAAATTATAAAATGTCCTTATTAAGGTAAGCATTTCTTACTCAGGGACTTTTTGAAAGAAAATTAATTGGGTTATCCTTTACCCTAATAAAAAGGCCCAAAAGGAGGGTTCCATCAAAAATCCCTTCATTTTCAGTTTATATATTCAGACTTCTCCTGTTGTATTCATTAATTCAATTCAATATAATACAGATACACAGTTTTCCTTTTTCTATCAACCATTCTAACATGGTATCAAAACTCTAAGTTCTACACTTATAGCCCTTTTCTTTTCTCTTTGTGCTTAGTCCCATACACAGTGGCACTACAACATTCATTCCATCACCCATACACTTTATTATCTCTGTTCCAGCATTGCTTCATCGTTATTTTCATCCAAATATTTTTCCCTTACTACCAAATTGATCGGAATCTCTTCACGGGTCCAATGACACCGATCGCATCACCAAAAAATTAGCCACGCGCCCTCACGCGCAACTTTTGTGATCGGCGCGTCTCCGCCTTCCGCGCCTCACGCGCCATTCAGTTACTTGCTCACGTCATCACCTGACGTCAACCTGCGCCTGCGTGCGCTGTTCCTACTGTTGTACACCGCACGTAAGTCATTCTGCTATTGTACGCCCACATGCGCCAATCTGCTGTTGTGCGCCGCGTGCCCTTTCTACTATTGTGCGCCACGCCTTAGCCGTGCTAACGTGAGTCACACCTCTGCTAACATCAATTTCCCTCTTGCTAACGCCAGCCCTACACCTTATTTGGCCAAAATTTAATTTTTGGCTTGTTTCGCTTATTTTTTGCACATTTTCTGATCATTTTGACCTGGTTTCCACCTATTTTCTACGTTCCGGATTCACTGGTGCACTTTGTTTGATCCAGTTCTACTCCGCAGTCACTGGTTCTCCTTTGTGATTCATTATTTAATCACCTTATGGCTCGTTCAGACAGTTATCCTTAGCACGGTCGTTATTCTGGACCCTCTACAATATACAGCCAAGATCAACCTTCAGCACATCTTGCATCTACTACAATTGCCTCTAGTTCATCATCCATTGTTACCCCATCATCACCCTACATTTTTTAGGACATTGAAGCTATTGTTAAAATGGTTATTTCTATCTCTGGTACACCCTCTACTGTCCTCTTAGTCACTCCAGGTACCTCTTCCTGGTATTTTGATTCCGCTTATTGCAACCATATGACCTCTAACCCTACACTTTTCTCCTCTATTACATCTTTTTTTACGTTACCTGTTATTTACACTGCTGATGGCTCTCCAATGCATGTTAGTCATATAGGTCATATTTCCACCTCTACTATTTCTCTACTCCACACTTATCTAATCCTCAATCTTACACCTAATCTTATTTCAATTGGTCAACTCTGTGATCTTGGTCTCACTGTTCTCTTTTCTCCAACTGGTTGTGTTGTGCAAGATCCGAAGACAGGACAGACTCTTGGGATCGGTCGTAGACATGGCCGTCTATATGAGCTCATCCACCTTCGCATTCCCCCCTCCAGTCCTTCCACTGTCCAGACTGTTGCTCTTACTACTCCTAGTTCGTCTCTTGCCTTATGACATTCTCGATTAGGTCATGTTTCCTTTGGTCGTTTACGATCTCTAGTTTCTAGTGGTCAGTTAGGTCCTGTTCCAAATGATAAAGTAGATTGTTTATCTTGTCAACTCACAAAACAATCTGCTTTACCATTTCCATCCAGTACCTCTATGTCTCATGCACATTTTGATCTCATACACTCTAATGTTTGGGGACCGGCACCTAATACCACTATCGGGGGATCTAAATACTTTGTCATTTTTGTAAATGATTTCACTCATTTTACCTGGTTATTTTTTATGAAGTCTCACTCTGAGTTACCACAAATATACTATGATTTCTCACAAATGGTCAAAACTTAGTTTTCTTCCACCATCAAAGTTTTCCGTGCTGATAATGCCCAAGAACACAAAGAAACAAATTTTTTGAGATTCTTTCATCAAAATGGCACATTTTCTCACTATTTTTGTCCTGGTAGGTCCCAACAAAATGGTCGTGCTGACCGTAAACATCGTTATCTTTTAGATACTGTTCGTGCTCTTTTAATTTCCTCTTCTTGTCTTGAGTGCTTCTAGGGAGAAGCCGCTCTCACAGCTGCCTATATTATCAACCGTGTTCCTTCTCCTACCATCAATAATCATACCCCATATAAGCGCTTATATGGCCAACCTCCTGTCTCTTCTCGTCTCCGTGTGTTTGAATGTGCTTGTTTTGTCCTCCTTCCACCACATGAGCATTCCAAATTAGAACCTTGAGCCCATCTGTGTTGCTTCTTGGGGTATGAGATTGAACATAAAGGCTATCGTTGTTAGGATCCTATTTCTCAACGTCTTCGTATCTCTCGTCATGTGGTATTTTAGGAAGACAGGATGTTCTCTTCTATATCTAAATTTCATCTGTCCACTCCTCCCACGACATCATTCTTCACAGATCCTTCTCTTTTGCTTGATGAGCTTGATACAGACACTACTTCTGCCCTGTTGCCTCCGGCCTATCCTGAGGATCTTGCTCCGTCTCCTAGTCCTGCTGATGCTTCACATTCTAATCCTGCTCCTAGTCCTGCCATGCTGCCTCCAGCACATCCTGAGGCTCCTACTCCTACTCCACCTCTTGGTTCTACTTTTGAGGTACCTCTTCGTCATTCTACTCGAGTAATACAACATTCTGTCCTTCTTCGTGATTTCATTGTTGGTTTTACTGCATTTTCCTTTCATGAACCTATTTCCTATCCAAGGCTTGTTCTAACCCTCTTTAGCAACAAGCTATAACTGATGAACTACACGCTTTTGATAAAACTCATACTTGGGATGTAGTTGATCTTCCTCTTGGCCAAAGTATTGTTAGTTGCAAATGGGTTTACAAGCTCAAGACTCATTCTGATAGTTCTATTAAGCGTTACAAAGCTCGTCTTGTTGCCCGAGGGTTTACTCAAGAATATGGGATTGATTATAAAGAAACCTTTGCTCCTGTTGCCCGTCTGACTTCTGTTTGTAGTTTACTTGCCGTTGCTGCTGCTCGCCACTAGAAACTTTGTCATATGGATGTGAAGAATGCATTTCTCAATGGCGATCTCATTGAGAAAGTTTATATGCAACCTCCACCTGGTTCCTCTGTACCGCCCTCCAAAGTCTGTAAATTTCGCCGTGCTTTGTATGGTTGAAACAAGCTCCTTATGCTTGGTTCGCCAAGTTTAGCTCCACCATTTATGATTTTGGATTCTCTTCTAGTGCCTATGAGTCTGCCATTTTTATTCGTAAGACAGAGTGTGGTACTATTCTTCTTCTTCTCTATGTAGATGATATGATCATCACTGGCGATGACACAGTGGGTATCTCTAGTCTCAAACAATTTCTCAATCTCCAGTTTGAGATGAAGGATTTGGGTCTTCTCAACTATTTTCTTAGCTTGGAAATCTCTTATGATCCGTCTGGTTACTTTCTCTCCCAAGCCAAGTATACTTCTGATCTCTTGGCTCGTGCTGGTCTCACCGATTACAAGACTGCCTCTACTCCTGTTGATCCTCAGACTCGTCTTACACCTCTTGACGGTCACCTGTTGTCTAATGCTACTTTATATCGTCAACTAGTTGGTAGTCTTGTTTATCTCACGATTACTCATCCAAACATTACTTATGTTGTTCATATTGTTAGTTAGTTCATATCTGCTCTTCGCTCTCCGCATTATAATGCTCTAGTTCATATTTTACGATATCTCAAAGGCACTATGTTTCATGGTCTTCACTACTTCGCTCACTCTTCCCTACAGTTACATGCATTTTCTGATGCTAATTAGGCAGGGAACCCTACTGATCGTCGTTCTACTACAGGATTCTTCTTCTTCTTGGGTGACTCTCTCATTACCTGGCGTAGCAAGAAGCAAACTCTTGTTGCTTGATCTAGTACTGAGGCTGAGTATCGTGCTCTTGCTGACACTACTCAAGAGCTTGTGTGGCTTCACTAGCTTCTTTCTGATATGGGGGTTTCTCATTTTACTACGATTAACCTCTATTACGATAGTCAGAGTGCTATTCAAACTGCCCATAATGATGTCTTCCATGATCGCACAAATCATATTGAGATTGATTGTCATTTCATACGACAACATGTTACTAGTGGCACTGTTCATCTTATCTTTGTTATCTCTGCCAACCAGACAGCCAACATCTTCACCAAGGCTCATCCACCTGGTCGTTTCAGTGATCTAGTTTCCAAACTTAAGTTGGTTGATGCCTACCCACCTTGAGTTTGAGGGGGACTATTAATGTATATTATTATATTATACTTATTTCTTATACTTATCTCTATCTCTATCTTTATCTCTTTGTATCTCTATCTCTATCTCCATCTCCATCTTCTTGTATCTCTATCTTCTTCTATACTTATCTAGATTTCTTTTCAACCTATATATATAGGCTTCTCCTATTGTATCCATTCATTCAATTCAATATAATACAGATACACAGTTTTTCTTTTTCTATCAACTGTTCTAACAATACAAAAAAACCAAAAAATCAGTTTTTAACTAATTTCTCAAAAGTGGCACCCTAATGGTATTGTGATTAATGGAGAGGATAAGTTTAACGAATTTGTGTTAAATGATTGAAAAATATAAAGGAACGTGCTGAATTATAATTAGTGTGAGACATGACCACATAGAGCCTCAAGACCAACTAATAATTTTTCACATTCCTATAATAATATTTGTTATGTTGTTAGATTATTTAGGTTACAAAATTATTTTGTTATGTTATTGTTATAGATTATTTGTTTTGATGCTTATTAACATCTTTGTCATAAAACATTTATTAAGAAAATTCTTTTTTTGAAGTTTAGTGTTAATTCTATCAAAAAATATTTTATATGAAAGAGTGTTAAATACAAACGAAAATACGAATCACTATTATTTTGCAGTTACTATATTTTGTAACTCAAACATAAATACAAAAAATATAAATTTGTTTATTTTATTTTTTTCTTTTTATGTTGATAAAAAATGTTCGCTCGAGTAGACACTCTATTTTTAGCAACTTTGGAAGAACATTCTCATGTGCATAATTTTGCTCTCATATTCTTTTAGACATTTTTAGACATTGTTTAAGTCTTATTAAGTAAATTAAGAAGTTAGGAACCCACCTAAGAAATTGGATTACGAATTGGGAAATTGTATGAATGGTATGTTTCAATGTGTTTTTGTTATGTGTTTTTTGTAGGTCAGACACCCCAAAATCTAGCATTTGTTCAAACTCACTGAGTAATATTTCTATAAAGATATGTTCAATATGTATTTTAAAAATTATTGTAAGACTGATATTTATGAAATATTATTTTATATGAATTAATGAAAATTCTTCTTGTTAAAAGTATTCGTGGCATCGTTTAGTGAGACCTTGTTTGAAGGATATAATACCATGACCTTTCGATTATTAAATTTACAAAGATCTCTAATGTTAGACCCGTGTGGTCCTTTTGTTACACTTTTATGGTCCCTTTGATAGACCTTCATGATCCCTTTGCTTAAACTTAAATGGTCCTTTTGATTTAGGCATTTTGACCCCTTCGTTATACTTTCTTTTTAAATTTTTGTTAATATATTAGTTGCCAATTAAAATCGTGAGTCTATCTTTGAATACACTCTAAATTTTTTTTTTTTTTTTGGTAATATGCATTGAAAATTAGGTTAGGTATACTTTCAAATAGTAAATATAATGTGTTTTTTTTTTTTTTTCTTTCAAATGCATTTATAAGAAAGTGGGACGGGAATAACCATTATTGCAAAAATTTTATGATACATACTTCTTGAAAGAAGTATATTACACATTCTAATGGAATGAGATTATTGAATGCTATGAAAATTGGAATACAAAATGTGAAAATAAGAGATTCAAATTTGTGAATTAAAAGACCAACTCATCCTCAAATTATGTTATTATACCATGTAGTCTATATGCACTCATTACAGTATTCATATTTAAAATGTGTAAAGGTAAAATTATAATTGAACATAAGGTGCCATTTAAAGTGAACTAATATTGTTGTTCGTCCCTTTATAAGAGGACTGTTATTTGCCCTGACTTCTTTACATTGACCTCCCACTTCTTTGAACTCCTACCCAGAAAAATGAGTTTCTCCATTTTCTCTTTGAATCCTTACCTTAATACCAACTATACCCTTATATGTTTTGTTCAAAAATAAATAAATAAAGAGTGTTATCAAATTCCCTCTCCCTAGATTTGATACAGTTTTTGATTTCAAACTGGTTTCAGTAAACAATTAAAAACAAGATCAAAACACCACGACAATCAACCGCCCACAATCAAAATCAAATTCAAAAAACAAAATTAAAATTAAAAGAGAGAGAGAGAGAGAGAGAGAGAGAGAGAGAGATCACACCCACCAAATCTACGACAACGAAATAGAGAATAAGGTGATAATGCCGAAAGTGCACACATACACACACACACACACAGATCAGAGGTGGTGGTTTGATCTCGATCATGGTATGTTCATAGGTCTCAATCTCTATGTGGCTCATCGATCTTGGAGGTAGAAATAGGAGTAGTGGAGGTTAGGGAGCAAAATAAGGGTTTGGTTTGAAGTTGTTGGTTAATGGGTAGCGAAGGCAATGGATCTATGTGGACCTATATGGATCTATGTCGAATCTAACTCAGATCTCAGCCTATTGTTATCAGATTCAACAACCATCCTCTTTCTCGTTCTCTCTTCAAGAGTCCAACACTTGATTCGATCCACATCTTTCATTAACATCATAACTATAATAAGTTATAGAGAGAAAATATGGAGGGGATGATAGAAAGAAACAAATAGAAGAAAAAGAAAGGGTGAGAGAGGGGGCTGAGACGATGGTGAGGATTTCTCCAATTGAGTCGTGATCGCCATTGTCGAAGACGATGAAGAGAACGATTGTGAACCTATCACGACCTAAACCTGCCCCTATAGATTTAGGACGTAACTGGCCAATAATCATGGGATTACCTACGACCTCAGACAGAATTTCAAAATATAGTTAACATATGGGACCTGTAGCAGAAGAAAATTATGAAATGTGTCCATTGAGCTGTGCATACGTGCCATGAACAAGAACATACATGTTATATCCCACATCACACTTCATGTCATATATCACAACATTTAATAACATTCATTATATACATAACCCAAGAGTAAAACTTATAACATAATAGACTATATAAAACCAAAGCTTCTTGAGCTTGTCATGATAAAAGCTAAGGCCTTGACACGGAGGCGTATCTTGGGTGGCTTCACAAAAGGCTGACACTCCAAAAGGCTTTGTACTAAACTTCCTGATGTTCACTTACATATATATAAATAAACGGAGTGAGCTGGAAGCCCAATGAGTAATCTCAATGTAAGGAGTTAAATGAATGAGTTTCATAACTTAATCAAAACAATATAACTTATTGATACATATAAGTCTGGTTCCAAATCACATTAAAGCTTGTTTCAAATCACATAGTATCAAATATTGCTTATCAAACCTTTCATAACTCCAAGTCGTAGCGAAGTAGCTGAAGGCCTTATTTAATTTGCTGAATTTAACAGAACATTCATATAGAATGGCTTCATTTGAAACACCCATATTAGTGTAGAACATCATTTAGATGGCTTTTACAGAACATCACATTGATGGCTCATTCAGAACATCATATTGATGGCTTATACAGAATGCAAAACATCACTTGGATGACTTATATAGAACATCGCATTTGATGGCTTATATAGAACGTCATATTGATGGCTCACACAGAACCTCGTATTGATGGTTTATACATAACGATTACTATTAAAGTTATACAGAACAATCATTAAAGATTGACATCATACAAAATGTTTATAACGAATCATTAGTTTGTACAGAACGTCCAAGACGGGTCATAGACAAACAACGGTTACCGAGAGTCAATGTGCATTTTCCAATTTATCATAATCGTTGTTTAAAAAGAAAACTCATTCATTTTTATCAACATAATCCTTCAAACTCCTGCCATATTGTATTCATTTCGTTCAGAAACTTGTCATATCATATTCATTTTGAAGATTCAAAACATACTTAGCCATATCAGAGAACTCTTGTCAAGCACATGCCTTATACCAACATAAGTTTCATAAATCATCACAAATGAACGCTAATTTCAAAGTACTTCATATGAAAATACCGTTACAAAGATATTATTCACAGTGCGTTTGGTCTTACGGCGTTGCCTCCGGCACACAACCTACACAAAACATGTCACACACATATTCGATAAATAGTTTGTTCATTTCGTACACTTTTCTTTTAGTGATCACAACCTTTTTTAATGGTTTCTAATTATCATTTCATACACCGGAGGGTTTACATAAGGTTAGGAATGCGTTCGGGAGGTCGGGGAGGTTAACATGAGAAAACAAAATTTTTCTCCCCTACTGGCCGCTCGTGCAGCCGGTCCAACTGCTCGAGCGGTCAGGTTCCGCTCGTACAAAGGTGGTGGTCGCTCAAGCGTGCAGAATGGTTCCCCCTGATTTGGTCCATACTTTGCTCGTGCAGAGTTCGCAGCCGCACGAACGGTCTGGCCAGTTCCAGACAGTCCGAAAATGAAGTTTTGAAGCCAAGTTCCCAAACTCAATTTCAAGCCCAAATTCATGCAAAACTAACTCAAAACTTGATATACTAACATGATTCAAGTATAATTTCAATTCAAACACATCAATCTTGCTTTAATGTCAAAATCAAAATCTTATTTTTTTCTATATATATACAAAACCTCATGATCAAGTTCAAAATATATATATACACATGGATGATCCTTACACAAATGCTTGTTGTATGGACAATTTAGGGTTCATTTCATGCATTAATCACAAGCTCCAACTCAA